GAACATGATCAGGTTCCAAAAAAATAAAATGCAAAATAACTCTAAACTCTAAAATGAGCTTTTTGGAAAAATGGAGAACAAGAAAAAAAATTGTGCTGATGTCAGCTCACATCTATCACACAGCACTTGCTATCCTATAAGTTCACATTAGCTAAATCAGCAGTAACAAGGTTCAGCCAAAGCTTCTTCCTCTCTGTAATGGCTGGGAAAGACTTGATGAGCTTCTTGTAAATGGGCGAAACATGAACTTCCACTCTCGAAAACAAGGACGACTGCCAGGGGCGCCAGTGGCGGAGGCAGCACAAAAGGATCGTGTCTCCGAAAGCCGAATGAAAAGCGGGCTGATAAATCAGTGAGGCAAACAAATGGGGCACTCGCAGGGCAGGCAGCGGAGCCATTTAGCCTCCCACTAGACGCCGGCCGTGCCAGAGCTTTGTCACCGAGCCCCACTGCTGCTGCACCCTGTCATTAGGCAATGCCATCTCAGCGGGGAGGGTAAACAGACATTAAATCAATTACAGACGCTCCTCGGCGACATCCAGGGGCTCCGACAGCATCCCTCTCCACATTGCCAGCCTCGTGTAGAACACACGAGAACAACAAACACAAGCACGCCAACAGCATGAGCACTGTGTCTTATATTTGAGTACTAGCATGATGCTCGTATCTGATTCCTCTGAAGGAGGAAGATATTTGCATGAGGAGCACTCACAGAGCTATGATGGCTCAAAATATGTTCTGTAAATTCATGACCCACTGGTTTGGTTATGGGGTTCAAGTCATTTTTTTTCCAATCAGCTGAGACTTACCCTCCTGTTCAGAGTCGATTTACTGCCCTGCTTGGCCTGCTCTCCGAGACTGTTCTGAGACTGAAACTTTCTGTCCGCATCCTCATGCCATGCTGCAGGAACCCAGAGGCACAAAAAGACAAAAGTATCCAACTATTATTAGATTATATCCATTTAGATCATTAGAAAGTCATAACATAGGTTGGTTATCCTTGTTGATCATTTCACTTAGCTTTTTCACAGATATCTGCCATGTTTTTCTGCTTACCCTCAGCAGCAAGCAGATCTCCGTTGGTTGGCGCAGCCATGGAGAGCTTCTTGGCCGTGCTGAGGCCACGGCTGTTCAGGAAGACAGGCAGGTGCACTATGTTGCGCATGTAGTCGTGGCCGTTGATGTTGGAATCACGCAGCACGCTGTTCAGGTTCTGGTTGATGGCTTTAATGATGATGTGGGGGTCGCTGGCAAAGATGGAGATGAAGGGGCCCTTGGAGAAGAGAATCCTCACCTGCAGAGGAAGAGATGCATTAGAACACCAGTTCCCAACCCAGGTCCTGGACATTTGAGTGTTTTTCCCTGCTCTAACACACCCACTTCAAATCATGAAGTGCTGTTAATAAGCTAATTAGTTGAATCTGGTGTGTGGGGAGCAGGGAAAACGTGTAGGTTGGGTTGGTTGCCTGTGCATTTAAGTCTGGCACAGTACACAATGAAGCACTTTGATTTTCTACTGATGTGCACCATCTCTAGATATGAGATCTTATATGAGATGTATAGATTTGATATGAAATAAATAGATTTAATATGAACTGTACAAGCTTCACAATGCAGAACATCAGTGGTGCTTGATCGCATGTATTTTATGTAATGTTTCTCTTTTCTTTATGTTGATGGCTTATTTTTGTTTCTTAGTGTTTTCAGTAAGGCTTATCCTTAATTCAATATATTTGTACGTACATAACTAAAATCAAATCAAAATAAAATATGGTAGGACTCTCATTTAAAGTGACATTCACTGCATCATTCAATAATAATGATTTGTGGTGAGCTGAGACAGTTATTCTATTCAGCTGTCCGAAATCAGTAAGAGAACCTTGCCCATTTGTTAACGTCCTTCTTAGAATTCAGTTCAGTTATTCCTGCACATAAAGTTTATTCCTGCACATAAAGTGCATATTAAAATATAAACAGAGCCTTTATCAGAACAGAACACCAAATAGAAAGGCCACAGTCTAGTGAAGAAGCTCCAGTCATGGAAATGACAGGGACTTTCCAGACTCATGAGAGACTCGAGCATGGCCAAGTGTCACAGGACACCGATTTGTACACTATTTAAAAAGTTAATTACTGCTGTCTGCTGCCTCAGGCTAGCGTCTAAGCTCAAATATTTGTTTATACTGCAGTGAGCCACAAAAACATTATTGTCTCTTTCCCAACATGCCATAATCCTCCACAGGCCATTTCCATTCATAGCAGTATGCAAATCCTTTCCGTTATGGAACTTTAGCTCCAGCAAGCTTAAAAAACATTTAGCTTGCGATAAAAATTCAATTTTGTAATTTCTATTAAAACTGGAGGCAAAAAAGCTGAGAATTTAAACGTGATGCAACTAAATGACCCACAAAGGGGTCTTTGAGGTTTCAGGTACTCTGGAAGGAGGGAGATTTCATTAGCAACGAGCAGGCTGCCAACACAAGGGGATTATATCCCCAAATAATAACGTTTGGCTGAAGGAAATTCTATTACTCCAGGCGGAAAAGAGGAATCTGAACTTTCTGGGGTGAACTCTGATAGCTACAGTGTGTAGTTCTGCTTTGTTAATGAGAAATTGATGAAAGTGTTTACCGTTCAGTCAGATCGAGGGGTGTTATATGTGTGTTTAGGTTAAGTGGAGGAAGATGAGGGAATGCACAAGAAATTTCTGAAACGTTGTTTCTTGCATAATTTTGAAATCTGACCAAATGTACACACACACACACACACACACACACACCGTATCCAGCATCTGCAGCACTTTATCTTGTTCACAGGAGTCCAGGCCATCGATGATGACGACCAGACGAGTCTGATTCTGAGTGAAGCCATCGATGGTCTTCGCCATTTTAGCCATGAGCTCCACTTCACATTTAAGCACCTAGCGCAAGACAAGACAAACGATTAAAAAAAAACATCCTGGCGTTTTTTTCTTCAGTGTAGCTTAGTAGAACATGTATAAACATCAGAGACATCCAAACATTCAGTGAAGAACTGCTAGTTGGAATTAATTATAGAAACTTGTACTAATATATACAGGCATTATAATTACATCATAACACACATAATGAATCTATAATGTAATTCAAGTGTATTTATGATTATAAATACAATGATATATAGTTACACTATAAAATACTATATATATATATATATATATATATATATATATATATATATATATATATATATATATATATATATATTTTAGTCGTGTGTATACTATTGTGTAAGAAAGGAATAAAACACAACAGGGTGTGCTGTTATAGGAAAACAACTGACAGCAGGATTATTATCATTCACCACAAAGTTGATTATTTTCCAACTACAGCAAACTCCAAAGTATTTTCTCCTCTTACACCACAGCAATTTGCCAACGCTTAGAGTTTTTCTTTATTAAAGACATACATTTTAAGTACTTTTTATCTGTTTATAATTATTTTTAATGTGTTTTTTGTCTGTAAAACTAGCTCCTAGTACCTCTTTCTGTTACAGACACTGGAGATTCCTTCCACAAAAATCACAGAAACCCATACCAACAATTAAACTCTTAAAAACAATTTTAAAATCAGTTTATGTGGACTGTGTTCATCTCATACATGTGCCCGTATGTTACTATAGAAGCGATAATGTATTATCGCTTAATAATATATATATCGATAATATATAAACCTGGGATTTGCCAGGCAGTCCAAACTACTTTCATAGCTGTGCTGTTATAGAAAATTAATCAACACCTTCTGACCAATTAGCTTCAAGAATTCAACAATTTTGTGGTATAAGGAACAATATTACACAAGTGTTCCAAAGACTAAAATTGTAGTATTTAAGTAATAATTAAGTAGCAGATTTGAGACACTTACAGGTTAAACCAGTTAACGTTATAATGTATGATCAGTTATAAGATCAATATACACCATCTGCTACAAGTGCCTAACTAAAGCTGCCTTTTCCAATCAGATATAGATTGTGTCCAAAAATGTTCATTTTTCAGTTCAAGTATTTAAATTTCACCCATTTTTTTTAAAGCCATACATTGAAAATATACAGTGTTGAAAAAAAATTTTCTCTGGCACTGTATAAAATCAATGCCAACCAAGATTACAGATCTTGTATCCCTTGTACCTTTTACTTGTACGTTTGCAGATCTTGTGTACCTTCATGAATCCCTCGCTCTTCAGCTTGTGCATGCTGTTGGCGGCACTGTGCAGCCTCCTCCTCTGCGAGCGCAGCACAGAGTCGGCCACCTGCCACCAGGTCCTGCAGTTGAGCAACAGAGCGAGGCCAACCACACTGGCCACAGCCACTAGCACCGCTTTTACAGTCACATTAGCTGAATCCACTTTAAATATAGCCAAGAGGGCCATACCTGTCACCAGGCACGCCAGAGTCAGTGCAAACAGAACAAAAGATGGCACGCAGCACGTCTTCTTCCACTTCTTTCCTGAAGACAGAGAGAAAGAGCTAAAGACAAATGCTGTAATACTAATACTTGGCCAGAATTGTTAATGTGTCTGAAAAAAGAAGGCAAGCCTAGCAGATACGATTACTAAATACACTGATGAGACTTATTAGCACCAATAAATTATTGAAGTAAAACTTGAAGTGGAATTAAAGCAAGCAGTTTCAAACCTTGTGTCTCATCGTTTTTAAAGACTCTGAAGAGTCTAGTGGCCAAGAAACCAAATTCTCTTTCGCATGCGTCTGACAGCGTGGCAATCATCTCAGCCATGGAGGTCTCTCCACCCACACTCGACAGGCGGTTATAGTCTGTAAACAGAAATCTACACACACACACACACACACACACACACACACACAAGCAGCGTGATATTTTTTGACCTCAGTAACCAGGGATTTAAACCTTCAGAAACACTGCATAATTATAATTAAATAGGTGGATAGCTTCACTAATCCTATATTAATTAGTGTCTAAATTGTAACTATGTGCACGTCTGAACACAGTGGTGGCTCAGTGGTTAAGGCTTTGAGCTACTGAACATAGGTCATGAGTTCAAATCCCAACAGCTGCTCAGTTGTATCTTGTCTCAATTCTAAGTCGCTTTGGGAAAAAAGCGTCAGCCAAATGAGCAAATGTAAGTGTAATGTAATGTAACAGCTTGATTACTGAAAATGCTTTTGCTTTGTTAGTAAAGTCATGGCTCTGTGTTCAGTACCTGACAGGCAAGGCCTTGGTAGTCTGCTCAGGAAGCTCTGGTGGGTTGACGAACATCAGTTTCAGCAGCAGCTCTAGGTAGCCAATGTGGCGTGCAAGCCTGGTGCTGATGAGCCATGCCCAGCTCCAGCTCTCGCCCTCTCTGCGCCCGCCAAAATACACCAGCACTACAACAGCAAACAGCAACCAGTCAGCAAAACACACAGAACATCTGACTTTAAACAAACAAGAAACAGTATGGACGACAGATAACAGGGGAAAGTTTAAAGGAGAATTCTGGCATAAAACTGTACTGTAGCACAGTATTACATCTCTCGGCCTAAGTGGTTTGGCACAATCCACAATTCCTTATCACTGTCCATCAGTGTTCAGTCACTACAATAGCTAGCATGCATTACACCAGTGGTTCTCAACGTGGGGTCTGGATGGGTCTGGAGTTTTATATTTTGTAATAAATTATTTATTATGTTCTTATAATTATTAGTCTGTTTAACTTGTCATTTGAATTGAATGGATATAATCCATACCTCAATAAGTCAAAATATAGGTCTATAAATAATCTCAAGCTCCAGGGCACCAATAAATAGGCAGAATATTACTATACACCGTTGAATAATGAGCCTAATTTTTAAATAGGTTTATGCTCATTAAATAAATCTGTGCTGGATGATGGGGAAATCAAACTTATTTTACACCATTAAAAGCGACCTCTGGCTGCAAAATGTTTGAGAATCACCCAAAGGGGAATCTTCACCTTGAGCAACCAATCAAGAAATACTGATTCTTAAATGTATCCTGCTACAAACAGGAATTGTGTACTATAGTTTAATTTGGAAAGACCTGCTAATGATGACATGTTTTCGTGTAGGTTTAAGTCTAGCAGGGTTTTTATTTTGGATCTCCTTTCCTCCTGTTCGATCTTATTTTCTATGATACAGTTCTTCTTCCATGCACTCTGGTGCACACAAGCATGGCTGGATATGCTGTACCACAGTAAACTAATCAGACAGTTTCTGTCACTGTGCAACACCGCTCTCTGCTGGACAAAAATACTAACAATCTTCACACATTGTATTATAAACTACACCGCACATGGGTTTTGGTAATGTGATTTACTGTAAAGCTGATTAATAGAATGTGTCTGGCTGTAGCTGCTACTTCCTCTCATGTGCTAAAAAGCTTAACAGAGTTAGTATGGAGACAGACTGGGAGCACGGGACTAGACATCTGTACAAGGGAAGGAGTCTAATCCTCTGCATGACCTCTTTACTGAAGATGCACATGGAACTTATACTGAATTCATGCGCTACTGAAATTATTGTGAATATGAGTTTCCAATTTAAAGGTTGCACATGAACATCCCTAAAAGCTGTAACATCTGCCTTACATTTCTAACCGCATGTTGTATTGTATACACTTTTACACTAGAAGTTCACTTCTAATCAAGAGTTCTTACTTACAATTTCGCTTAGAGGGAAAAACAGCAAAAACAAAATAGCAGCATTAAATGGTCTATTTCTCAGAAAAAAGAGTTGAATACAGATAATGCTTCACTGACAAAACTGATATAAGTGATGAAATTAATATACAGTCGCATTAGTCTAAGCCTAGTTTGTCATGAGAAATGTGATCATCCTAACCAACGTTTAGTCAGTGTTAGTCATTACAAATTCTAGGTTGTGTGAACTGCAGTATAAACCGTCCCTTTTAGGCAAAGCAATTTAATTGATTTCCATGGGATTCCTACCAAAGAATATGTAAAGCAGGGCAAGCAGGCTGAGGGCCACAGCAATGGCCAGCCTGGGATCGACAGAGAAGCCAAGAATCACAGCTACAGAGCCGCACAGCAGCAGAGTCAGCACCACCACCAGCCAAGAGAACTGAAACAATGGCTCCACCTGCTGGCCTGCAAACGTCTTCATTTCGTCTGAAAACACCATGACAGCTCATTTAGTCATCCTACTTTAATTAGGTACAGTACATAAAATGTTAAAATATACAATACCTATTCAGCATTTCACTGGTGTATAAAGAGATCAATTTGCAGGGGTGCTCTTACCCTCCAGCTTCTTGAGCAGGAAGGATTTGCCGCTGCCCCACTGAGCGTACAGACCCACACAGATGGGAGGCTGCATGGTGGGCTCGCTAAGGATGTCAGCCAGCGCGCTGCTGTACAGGTCATAACCCAGCATGTCACCATCACACTCCGTAGGGGACAAGTGCTCTACAATAGGTCAGAGGGAGAAAAAAATATCAGAATCTTTACCTAGTTTTAAGCAGAAAACTAAAGAAAAAGCTCTGAAACTTGTTCAAAGGCGAGTTAGGAAAACACTCACTGGCACCAAAGATCTGGGTGAGGATGCTCTTCTGGTGTGTGCAGTCGATGTTGTAGGGCGTCTCGCCCTGCTTGTTGGGCTTGTAGAGCAGGCGGCCATCTTTAGGGTTCCTCAAGAGCAGCTCAGCCAACTTTCTGCTCCGACCCCTGATGGCAATGTGCAGCGCTGTGTCTCCTTTCTGAAAGCGCAGCATTTACCTATCCTGTAATTACTAAGCACTGATATTCCACATACAAATTCACTGTATATATAACAAAACTGCCACTTGTACAAGCTGATTTGGGCATGTTAAAAATAAGATTACATTTTCTTATTTATGATGTTTGAAGGAAGTCTACAGGTATCCTGACATTTAGCACTTTTTTTTAAATTCTACTTAAAGTGTAATTTAAGTAGAATGTGAATAGCTAACTAAAGAAAGAAAGAAACAAAGAAAGAAAGAAAGAACTTTGAGGACCAGCCAAATCCAAACAAAAAGCTGCTAGCAAACAGGAAATACTTTTTTTCCTAATCACTAGAAGCTTTTGTTTGAATTTGGCTGGTCCTCAAATTTCTGTGTATGCTTGCTTCAGATAATCATTCTCCCCTTCTCCTGCAAGTAATGTATTATCCGATGAGTGTAATGTCTGAAGTTTTCAAAGCGTTTTCAAAATAGATTCAACTGTATATGAAAAGAAGTTATGCCGGATTAATGTAAATTCATGTAAATTCAAATTTAAGACAACATACTACTTCTCAAGGCCTTTAATTTATCAAATGCAATTTTAAATAATTTAGCCCCTGCATGCCCTGAATGATATGTCTGTTTTCAGATACATTTTTCAAAGAGCACAGAACATTGTTACCTTGTCCACAGCAGACACTTTCGCTCCCTTGTCAAGAAGAAGCTCAACAATCTCAATGTTTCTCATTTTGGTAGCTTTAATTAGTGGAGTCTCCCCTTCCTAAAACAGGATCACACACAAACAGGTAGGAAAGTGGTGATTTCAGTGCACTGTAGTATTTTCTGCCTCCCTTGGAAGTCAAGGGGTTTGGCTTTACCTTGGTGTAGGCCTCTGTGTCTGGGTTACACTGCAGGATATCTCGTACCATGGTGGCATTGCCTTTTTCTACTGACCAGTAGAGGGCAGTCTTGCCATCCTGTGTAGAGAAAGTGCATGATATAATGAAAGAACACCACTGCAGTTAAACATATGAAACCGGGATAGAGTGATGCTTTCATACACTCACAGCCACTTTAATAAGAACACTTGAACCCCTGCTTGAATGGGCTACAACATCCGAAGGGCTACAACAGCAGAACAGCACATCCTGTTCCACTCCTGTCAGATAAGAAGGCTACAGTTGGCACAGACTCACAGTAAATATTGGAAAAACATCACCTGGTCTTTTTCCAATCTTCAACTGTCCAGTTTCGGTGAGCCTGTACCTATTGTACCCTCCATCTCTTTGTTCTTGGCTGATAGAAGTGGAAACCGATGTGGTCTTACGCTGTTGTAGCCTATCTGCTTCAAGGTTTGAGGTGTTCTGAGATGCTTTCCTGCTCACTACAGTTTTAAAGATTGAGTATTTGAGTTACTGTAGCCTTCCTGTCAGCTCGCACCAGTCTGGCCATTCTCCTCTGATGAACAAGCCATTTCTGCCAATCACTGGATGTTTTTTGTTTTTTGCACCATCCTGTGTAAACTCTACAGATTGTTGCCTATGAAAATCCCAGAAAATCAGTAGTTTCTGAATTAAAAAATGCTGTTCACCATGGTCAAAGCCATGGTCAAAACACCAATTCTGATGTTTGATGTGAAGATTAACTGAAGCTCTTAACCTGTATCTGTATGATTTTATGCACTGTGCTGCTGCCACGCGACTGGATGATTGCTTGAATGAGCAGGTGTGCAGGTGTTCCTATTAAAGTGGCTGGTGACTGAATACAGGCATTATGACATGAATCTGGAATATTGTATGGACAGATACAGTCACTAGGTTGTAGAGGCATATTAAAACAAGTAGGGATGTTCAAAATCTGAAAAAATATAAGTACCTGGCCTTTAACATCAATGTCAGCGTATTTATTCAGCAAAGCTCGGACAATCTCCACATGGCCTCCTCTCACTGCCGCAATTAGAACCGTGTCACCACTCTGAGACAAAAAACACACATAAAACATACATACAGTACAGATGAAAGTAAATACAAAGCATCAGGACCTTCATTCTGTTGGTGCCATTAAATTGTGACCTTTGCTTGCATTAAAAAAATGTCTTTGAAGAAAATGCATGAAGGAAAAAAGCAAGGAATATGAGAACAGTTATTCACCCTGTCAGGAATGTTGACATAGGTGTCTGCGTCCAGCAGGTCCTGCACTATCTCAGTGTGGCCCTCCATTGCAGCGATCATCAGTGCCGTGTTTCCGTCCTTATCAGTCATGTTGACGTTGGGGTTTCTCTTCAGTAGTTCTTTCACCACCTCTGTGTAACCACCACGCACTGCCACAATCAGAGCTGTCATCGAGTTCTGACAGAGA